ATTGTATAAAGGATGTTTGTGTGCTATTTTATAAAGTTATTTTAATTTGCAATACCTGTGAATTTGCAATACCTGTGAAGTGTGCTCCATCTTTAGCATTCTTGGGCACAAGGCACAGTTCCATATCGTCCAGTTCATTCTGTTGTTTTAATCCAAGCCACTTTTTAATGTCTGGTCCACCCTTTCGAATGCTGCCCAAGGTTGTACTCGGCATTTCCAGAGCAAGAATGATATCTACCGATACATGTGAGGGTGGCTCTCCAATTCGAAGAGTAACTGCTGGGCTTCCAGGTTTTTTCCTCTCCACAGTAACTTTCATTCCTATTAGCAGCCATTAAAAAAGTTTTAAATATTTCCATTTCAGGCTACTGCTTCACCAAATTTCAGCAAAATAGATGAAACCAATACAAAAAGTCGAGCAAGAGGTTAACTTAGAAGTAAAAGTTTACACTTTTGATACAAGGAGTGGCTTGTGGGACATATTCAGCTGGCATTGTTGAGCTGCAAATAAATTAAGTACATTAACAGCTCTGTCATTGCTGCTTTTCCATTGGAGGAGAAATCTACTGTTATATTTTAGCTACAGAATTTTAAGTGAAGTCCATTGGAAGCACTGTGTACAAGCAACTCAGATTTTAAGCATAGATTGTTCATAGGATGATTTGAGAGTAGGCATAACTTTCAGGAGTCCATAGGACAGTTCACATATACAAGCCAGAGACTTATTTTCATTCTTGCATACAGGGTGGTAAAGAAAAACTCCTGTGGAAGACAACCTCTACACATGCTGTAGCAGTATATGTTTCAGTTCTTTTTTCCCCTTTTTTTTTATAAAACTCTCCTAAAAAGGAGAGAATGTTATTGCTTTTAAAATTTTCAGAAAAAGGGAGGGGTATATAGCGGGATTAAGAATAGTGGTGAGTGATGATTGAATTAGTATATTAATCTTTTGTCAGTAATATTACATTCTGTGGCTTCTTCTGCATTTGACCGATCTTCTTTCTTCTTTACCTGTCAAAAATAAAGGTGTTAACATATTAGTAATGTCCTTTCGGGTTATTATTAGTATTGTCCTTTAACGCACTTTCTGAAAAGTTTTTCAGGTGTTGGGGTGTTTTCCTTTTTTATCTCTCAAATTATAGGGTACTCCTCCTACAGCTCCTCCTTCTTCCAGTTTCTTGTCCCCTTCCTCCGAGCCTCTGTCCTCCTCACTGCTGAATACCTTCCATGTAGCAAGTTCTGCTTCTTCCTCTGAACTGGCGTGCCTCTTCAAAAAGTCTTGGGCTTTGAAAATGGAGTCTATCTTTTCTCTCTTGTCTTTAAATTTAAAGACAAGTCCTTCTGGAATCAACCATCTGTAGTTAATTTGATGATTTTGCAAGAATGTAGTCAGTCCTTTATAAGATTTCCACTTCTTGCGAATTTCAAATGGTACATCTTTTAAAATCCTTATATTCTGTTCTCCAATCTTCAAGGGCTTTGCTGATGTCGCTTTTAAAATTTGATCTCTGATGCGTTGTTTGGTAAATTTGACAACCACTTCAGCTGGCAGATTATTTTTCTTTGTAAAATTGGAGTAGGCTCTGTAGGCCAAATCCATCTCTTCGCTTAACTTATCCGCTTCACTGCCCATCAGTGGTGCCAAAGCATTTGCCAATATGCTTCTGAGATCTTCCTTCTCAACCTCCTGGATACCTTGAAATTGGAGAGTTAAATTTGATTTTTCCATCTGTAACATCAGTAACTTGTTTTCTTGTATTTCTTGGTTTTTTTTTCCATTTTATTAATCTTGATTTTTTGTGTATCTTTCGTTGATACCAGACATTTCTTTGCAATCACCTCCATCTTCTTAGCTGTATCTGTCAATTGTGCCTGTTGATTGCTGAGGACACTTTCTATGCTAGATAACATTTGGCTGATTTTCTGCATTTGATCCAGCAGGGGGCGAAGCATCTCCTTTTCATGTTGAGTGACAGCCGGCTCTGAAAGGCGGGGGCTAGGACCGGAAGTTCCCGCCTGCTTCTTCGCCTGCTTCTCCTTCTCCTTCTTTAGCCCCGACATCTTAACTTTTTTGTTTACTTTTTAAAAGTTCATGCCGCGCGGCTTAGGGATAAATCCCTCTTCGTTGTTTTAAAAGATTTCCCAAAAGGTAACTTTTCTATTCCAAATTTTCACTCCCCCCCCTTCTCGTCATTAACACAGTCTCATTCTGTCAGGGGGGGCTATCCACCCTCCTCCCATGCGCTTATCCGGGGGGGGAGAGAACCGCTTAGATTTTCTGATCGTCAACTCACAGTTTGTAGCCAATTTTGTCTTTTATAATTGCCTTATCGCTCCATCACTCCGAAAAGACTGGTGGTGTTGCTGAGTCCCGTCAGGGCACAACGCGGCGGGGCCTTTGGGGCATGGGGAAAGCCTCAATTTCCCAACCGTCAGGTCAACAAAGAGGCAGCTCCCTGGTGCGCCCCCTGGTCCGGAGCCTTTACACTAAGGCTCCTAGGGTCTCCACTTGTGCGGAGTCCCCCCCAACCGTGTGTGGGCATATCGCCTCCGGGAGCGGCATTCGCTTTGCCGTAACCGGAAGTCCTATGTTTCAGTTCTAATGGTCACAGCCCGCCCAGCCATTTCATTTTAGTAATACATGACTTCTATTTGAGAAGTGGCTTTCAAGGCATATTCCATCGACCATTAGCCAGGAACTAATCGAACATTAGCCAGGAACTGGCTGTCACCCCACCCTTGGCTACAGGTGGGGCAAAAGCAGTGTGCATGCATTAGAGGTGGAGTGACCTCCTTCTTGGTCAGTTCTCTTCTAGCAGCTGCTATTGGAATATTCTCTTAAAACTGTTCTTACCACATCTTACAGAACAAAAAATTATAGCAAGAGTCAACAAGTGTGTCTAGTGCTATGCATTGTTTAAGACTGTACCTTAAAACCCTCTGAGTAAATAATTTGTTTACAGTCTAACCAAAAAAAAATGTAGTTCTTTTAAACAGTTGTGTGCTTAATTTGCAATATGATTCTAAACCTGGCCCTACAAGGTGTATTAAAAAGTTTACATAATTGAGCCAAGGACAGAAAGGAAGAAATGAAAAATCCCAAAAAACATTTTAAATGAGGTTTTATTACACCCTGCACACACACAAAATGAATGTTGGGTGATATCTTACAAGAATATGGTTGACATCGTGGGGTGAGAGAAAGGCTTGGGAAAGAAAAAGCAGTAATCATGGAGTGGATGGGATTTCCTTCCCTCACAATTTCATGGATCCTCCACTTGTAAAAATATAGACATTACATCAACAGAAAATGTCATACCAATTATTATTTAATCTTGAAGGGAAAAGATAGAATATCATGATTATCAAATTCACTTTGATCTTACTGAAACAGGTGGACTTTTGTTGTAGAACAATGTGAGATGCTACTTTTAAAAAATCATGACCAGTTAGTGTTCTAAACCAACAAGTGAGCTGTAGCATGCCATAGAAGTCTTTTTTTAAGGCTAAATGTTCAGAAAACTAAAGAGAAGGAGAGAAATTTGTGTCCAAACTGGCTATTATGCCCACCTTTGCTTTGGTGCAGACTTTTCTGTTGTGGAAGGACCGTGAATACTAAGCCCCATGTTTGCTTTCAAGCTGGAAAAGCCTCACCTATATATGCAGCCTACTTTCTACTTAATCAGCAGCAATGAAGGTGGGGAGGGGGGAACACTAATGGTTGCATTAGCTTGAGCAGCAAGGTTTTCTGTGGCTATGTGTTTTCCTTTCTGTGTACAGGAAACCAAGAGAGGCAGTGCTACTGGTTATTTCTGCATTTGGATGTCTTTATAAGCAACATTTTAACAAGCCAGGAACAAACCATGGTTTAAAATTCTAGCTTAATTTTTATGGACAAACAGGAGTTTGTGGTGCAGCCTGCATGAAGGCATTACACTAAACCAATCATGATTTATGAACACATTTTTTTCAATGTCTGACTGCAGCCTAATTCAGATGCTCACATGCTATCCTGAACACTAGTTTTAAAATTTTTGATTGCCCTTGCCTTGCAGTTTCTGTCCTATGGGAGCAACACAGTTACAAAGACGTTACTGTGCACTGGAACATTTGTGATTTTAACTGCGTGCTTAGATTAAAATGAGACTGAAGAATTGACTATGACCAGTATCACTTTTAATCCCCTTTTAATTCTGAATAAATGAATACTTACCATTTATAGTCTTTACTTCATTTATAATAATGCTCCGCAGTTCTGAAAGGAATTTGGAAGCTGAAAGATATTGCTGATCATCCACGAAGTCATTTAGTCGCTGTAATCCAGGGTTCCTTTTCAGTTTTACAAAATAATAAACACCCTTGCAGTCACCACCATTATAGGGCTCCAGCTCAACTCTTACTCCTGGCACTTTAAGCATAATATCAAATTCATCTGGTTTAGTTATCTGTAAGACAAACATGTTATTTTCTCACCCTTCCAAATTAACTAACAAAAGGATGAAAAAAATCTACAACAAAATAATTTTTAAAAACTAGACTGCTGACAAACCATCCTGTAGCTCAGTGGTATTGCATCTACTTGGCATGCAAAAGGTCCCAGGTTCAATCCCTGACATTTCCAGGTAAACGGATCAGGTGGTAGGTGATAGACACCTCCCTAAGACCCCGGAGAGCCACTGCCAGTCTGAGTAGACAGTGCCGACTCTGATGGACCAAGGGGTTGATTCAGTGAAGGCAGCTTCATGTGCTTAAATGTTCGTTTGATTACTTGCTCAGAACCCAGAGGGATCAACTAATGTCTTACCAGTGAGAGCGAATGTTGGTCTGATAGTGAGGGATCTCTCTATATTAATAAGAGATGCACACTAACACTGTCTTTGGATTCCAAGTACTCAGCTATAAGAAAAGAGCACTCCTTCAACTGAGCAGAAAAGGCAGAAAAATATCTAAAAGTGTATGGCACAAGGCTCTCCGGGAGGGGGGGTATAATAAGCCAAAATAATTTCCTCAATGTACATTGTGCTTGTCAGAAGAACACACCCACCCACCCCCTCCCTCCCAAGAAGTATTGCTTGCACACAAAAGCTTATACCAAGAATAAAACGTTGTTGGTCTTGAAGCTGGAATGGGATTCCAACTTTATTTTCTCTCTCCCCTCCCTCCCCAAAAGAAGAGAAGCAGCCCCGGAGAAGGAAGCAGAAGGGGTGTGTGTGAGTGAGAGAGAGAGAAAATGAACTTGTCTTTGTATCTGTTGTGTAGTGGGTTCGACGCATGAAAGATCACAGAGACGGTGTGCTGCAGAGCATGGTTTACTGGACACAACACGAACTAACTTCAACAGGGCAGGCGGCCCACTATATACAGAGGCAAAGGGACAACCCTAGGTCCTATTGGTGGGTTTAAACTTCCTGCCAAAGGTCCTATAGATCCCTGAAGGAAGAGTTCAGGAGCCTAGTCCCTATTCTTGGGACTCCAGCGAGTGCACATATCGCTGCCACCTGGTGGCGGTCAGCGGACATAACACACACACCCCATAGTTCGAACCCTGCATATGTCACATAGTCCTTCAGGTACGTGGGGGACCGACATTCCCTTGTTGACTGCCTTGGGGATGGCACGGGTGACTCATAACTATTTTTCTGTGGTGTCCTCGGGGAAGGTGCTGATATCTCACCCATTTCTGGCAGTGGTTGTGTTTGGGCCTCTTCTGGTGTCCTCGCAGGCACCGGTGCGCTGACCTCTGGAGCGGCTGCTGGGATGGGGGCTGTTTCCCGTTCCTGGGGAAGCTCCCAGTCTGAAACAACATCGGCTGCCCTTTCGGAGACCTGGGCCTCTCTTGCTTCTGGAAGCAGGCGCCACCTCAGCTGGTCCACATGTCTACATAGGACCTGCCCGCAGTCCGTTGAGACTTCATATGACACTGGTCCCGTGGGGCAGATGATCCTGCCGGTGATCCACTCCAGGCCCTTGCCGTAGTTCTGGACGTAGACGGGATCTTCAGAGAAGAATCCCCGTGGCGCCTCCCGCTGCTTGGACAGGGTCCGCGACTCTGAAGCCTGGTCCAGGTGTAGGTGGTCTAAAAGGATCGCGGGCCACTGGCTCATGAGGAGTTCTGCAGGGCTGCGGCCGCTTACCGGGTTGGGGGTAGTCTGTTGTGCCAGGAGGAAGCGGGCCAGGTGGAACTCCCAGTCCCCCTCTGTCAAGTGGCTGAGGGCTATCTTTGCGGTGCGCACCATGTGTTCCGCTTTGGCCATTCGTTGCGGGGGGGAAGGGAGTCGATCTGATGCTGTGGAGGAACTATTGAAATTCCTCTGACGTGAATGCCGTGCCGTTGTCTGAGACAACAGTGTCGGGCAGGCCGTGCGTGGCAAAAATTCGGCGAAGGGCTCGTATGGTCGCCTTGGAGGAGGTGGTGGAAACCGGGCTAATCTCCAGCCACTTCGAGTAGGAGTCCACAGTCACCAGGAATAACAGTCCATGGAAGGGCCCGGCGAAGTCAATATGGAGCCAGGACCAAGGTGTCCATTTGATTCCCATGATTGGGAGGGCGCACTCGGCAGGCTGGGCCAGACTGCCTGGCAGGCCGCACAACGCTTCACCCAGGCCTCTACTGCGCTGTCGATGCCAGGCCACCAGACGTAGCTGCGGGTGATGGCCTTCATTCTCACGATCCCAGGATGTGCCTCGTGCAGGGCCTGGAGAACCTGGTGTCGCAAGGCTTGGGGGACCACGACCCTGTCCCCCCACAGCAGGCAGCCCTTGTGCATAGACAGTTCCTCCCTGCGGATCGTGAAGGCAGTGAATTCTGGCTCCTTCATAGCCACAGGCCACCCCCTTACCACCCAGCCCAGAACCCGGGAGATGATGGGGTCCCAAGCCGAGCTGCAAGCAATGTCCGCTGCCTGGAGAGGGGTGTCAGGGAGACCTTCAATCACGAGGACATGATGTGCGGGGGCTGGATCATCGTCCACCTCGGGCAAAGGATGGCGGCTGGGGCGTCGCCGTGTCCCATGACCTTCCCTGGACGATGCTGCAGGGTATAGTTATAGCCTGAGAGGAAAATGGAGCACCGCAAGACCTTTCGGACTTGCGGCATCCGGCAATCCGCAGCAAAGAGGCAGAGGAGAGGGCGGTGATCGGTGGCGATAGTGAAAGGCCAGCCATAGACAAAATCGTGAAATTTTTTCACTCCGACAACTATTGCCAGCCCCTCACGGTTGATCTGGGCGTAGTTTTGTTCGGCCACAGACAGGGCGCGCAAGCAGTATGCCATGGGCACTTCTCTCCCATCCAGGAGGCGATGTGCCAGCACTGCACCAATGCCGTATGGAGACGCATCGCACGCCAGGACCACTGGTAACGTTTAATTGAAGTGGGCCAGGACAGAATTTGAAATGAGAGTTTTAACCCCCCTGAACGCAATGGCCTGGCGCAGGCCCCACGTCCAGGGAGCCTGCTTATCCAACAGTCTGTGCAGGGGTTCAGCTACCACCGCCTTGTGGGGAAGGAAGG